CCAGCTGCACCTGCAGCCTCGTCCAGCTGCACCTGCAGCCTCGTCCAGCTGCACCTGCAGCCACGTCCAGCTGCACCTGCAGCCTCGTCCAGCTGCACCTGCAGCCTCACCCAGCTCCTCATCCAGCAGCTTTCTACTAACCCCAAACATATGGTTCATGGGCAGAGCTATCATTCTCAGCCATAGTAGTTAAAACATCCATAAACATGATCTGTCTCTGGTGTGACGTCACATCACCCCATAGACGTGAAGGGGCTGTTTCTGAATAAACAGAATGAAATCGTCACAGAAACTAAGTTTTTAAAACCAGTTTGCGTGACTTTCAATGTTTTCCACCGAACATAAGGATTTATCATACTTGGATATGTAATATGACAAAAATGGTGGGCATTGAACTTTAATGAAACACTGAAACCTTCAGGGCAGCGTGCACTCTTTACCTGCTTTTCAGCAGCTCGCGTGCTGGGGTTCATGTGAGCTAAAATACAAACAGAGTTTTAATCCCTTGAAATCTCAGCAGCCGAACATGTCCAAACAATGGCTATCTTCCATCTTAAACCACAGAGGAAACTGGATGAATCTGTAACTTGTTGAGATAAAACTGCAACAGCTTGTAAAAGAACCTGATCATTTTTCTCTCCGAGCCGTCGGTGTGATCAAAACAGACACAAACCTGAAAGAAAGTCCTGCATTTTTAATAAAAACAAGGTGAAAGATGTAGATCACACAGCGCCTCCTGGTGGTTGAAGAGTGGATCTTCATTTTTAATTATTAGTTCAGTGACATGAAAGAACTCAAATTAAAGCAAAAAAAAAAAAGATCAAATGTTCACACAGTTGCTACTATTATAGTAATAAGTATTTATTAATAGAAAGTATTTGTTCATTTATGAGAGTAAAAATTGTAGGCCTAGATATTCACATTTATATTTCTGTGTAGCTGCTCATAAAATGATCCAAACCAGTGATTATCAAGTTTATTTCTCCTTCACTTTACAATGTGGAAATAAAAAATATATTTTATGAGTTGAATAAAAATACAACTGTTATAATCTCTAGGTTTTTGACGTGTGACCTTCTGATATAATGACCATCTTTTCATTGGCTAATTGATTTATTTATCTTGATTAGTGTTTAGAGGTTTTCATTTAATCATTGAGTCAATTCAGTTGCATTAAAATACCTAAACATCTGTTCCCTGCACCGAACTTGCTATTGATCACAATGATCAGTTTATTGATATCAGATAAGCTGCTCATGTTGCTAATTATTTTGAAATGAAGACTTTTTTTTTAAAAACTTCAACGAACTCCCTTCTTACCTTTGTTGTTACCTGTGTTCATCATGCAGACATCTTCACCACCTTCTTTGTGCTTTTCAACATTTAATCCAGATTTTATTTTGGTTCCTTCAAGTGTTAAACTGGTTTTCATCCTCAGCTCTCAGGTTGATACAGCCTGTTGCTCTCATCTATCATGAACACAAAATATTTAGTATTATAACTTCTGCAAAAGTGGGCAGCACGGTGGCGCAATGGGTAGAGCCGCTGCCTCTCAGCGAGCAGGTCGCCCCAGTTCAAATCCCGGCCTGGGGGCCTTTCTAGGTGGAGTTTGCATGTTCTCTGCATGCATGCGTGGGGTTTCTCCGGCGTCCTCCCACAGACCAAAAACATGCATGTTAGGCTGATTGGTAACTCTAAATTGTTTCTAGGTGTGAATGAGAGAGTGAATCGTTGTCTCTCTGTGTCCCTGTGATGGACTGGAGACCTGTCCAGGGTGTCCCCCGCCTCTCGTACAGTGACCCAAAAAGGAAGAAGCGGGTAAAGATGATGGATGGATGGAACTTCTGCTAAATCTTTCCTGTATTCATTCATTCAACTTTTATTTATACAGACTAGCCTCGTTGAGCCACGAGGACTCATTTACAAGAGGAACCTGTTCCAGACAGAACCTTTAATGTACTAACTTTATACTAAACAAGAAACTGTCCAGATGACCTGACTGAAAAATGTTGGATTGTATACCTGGATTACTGAGCATGGACTTTACTAACTTTACAATTACAAACTCATTAGTGCAGACTTGCCTGAGAAATGAAACTCAGTTTACTGTACTTTAGTTCAGCGGCTCCAAAGCTTTGCTTTAGCTCACCCAAAAAAAAAAAAAAAGATATAAACATTAATGTTAGCCTTTAAAAAGCAGAACGTTTAATTTTAAGTGGGAATATATTTGTCTAGTGTTTTTCCTTCTTCTGTGTTGAAAACAAAAGTTGCATGAACATCCATGAAGACTGGAAGCTTCACATTTCTGTCAGGGTTTAGTCAGTGCAAAACTTGTATTTATTTGGAAATAAAGCCAATTACTTAAATACGCTGATCAGATTTGTCATGCTGAAAAGGCAGTTTTATGGTCACATTTGTTACTAAAAGAAAAATCTGATTTCATTTTCTGCAGTTTTAATTTTTTACTGAGGTTTGGGCAACAGAAGTTTCTAAAAATGATCATAACTGAAGTTTTTCTGCCGTTAATCTTGATGGGTCGGCTTTAAAGTCATTTTAACACACCTGAGCCAGGGAGCTGGTCTCTGAGCAGCGGGGGACACCGGGACAGGTCTCCAGTCCATCACAAGGACACAGAGACAAACAGTCGTTCACACCCACACCTGGGGACAGAGGTTCTGTTATAAATTGTCTCTATGTGGGGAAAAACCCCAGAGTACTTGCACTGAGTGCACGAGAAGAACATCACGCAGGAACTGTGATCTTCTCGGTGTGAGGCGACCGCTTCACCACTGTGCTGTCCCCTTCTCTACCCAGACAAGTGAAAACGTTCGCTGCAAATGACAGTAAACTTAAAAAAATGCGTCCAATCGGAGAACTTTTACATTCACAATATATTTTTAGGACATCTACAATCAAAAAAGAACAGAACGTTAAATGTGAAGCAGAATTTATTCATTTTTTTTTTCAAGCATAGAGAACATATAAAGACAGACAGTGGATCTGAAAGAACAGAAAACATGGGCTGTAATAAAAAAACCCAAAACAAAATTATAAAACGGTTGTCTGTCAGTAAATGAGAGTAACACTGATGGATCATTGTGCAAACTGTTAGAAAACTCATTTCTAATCAGCGGATGGTCCCTAAACAGAAGACAGACATCGTGGTTCTCCTCATGGAGCACGAAGCTTTGAAGGATTGTTTCAGTAGAACTGAACCGGGCTTCAGACAAACTTCAGACTTGAACACGGGATTTATAAAAAAAAAAAAAAATAAATAGGCTCAACATTTAACATCATTGTATTGCAGCTTTAAGTGGGATTGTTTTTAAAGACAAAAACACGTTTTTAATAAAAAAATGGTCCAAACTTCCGACTGCACATCCTGAATTTATAAATTTAGAACTAAAAATCTGTCACTGAGGGCAAAACGTGAAATATACAATGTAGCAAATATGAAAAGGACGGAATTTAAAAAAAATCAAAATTTCACCTGAAAACATCAAAATTAATTTGAATAGAAAGAATGTAGATAAATGTATAAAGGTCATGCACATTAAAATCAATCACCCACTGCACCTTATTGGACAAAAGGAAACAGATGATCTTATATCATATCTTACTGGGAGGAAGAGGAAAATATAGAATCTGATCTTTAAAGGCTGATTGAAATGTGAGCTCCACTCTGAGACCGCCTGGTTTAATTTTCTGCTCATCCATGTCGAATGGAAGGAGCTGGCACCTTCGTGGGTGTTTAACTCCAGGTCACCTCTTCACTTTACAGCAGCAAAACTTCCCTGAAAGAAAACACAGTTACACATTTAATGCTTTCTCTTTTAGTTGCATCTTATTAAACGAGCCATGAATGAACCTGTGTGTTTAGCTAGCAGGGGACAGAATTGGACTTGAAGACTTTTATCTTACACAAAGCAGATTCCTTCATTTAGTGCCGTTGTACTTGACGGGCTTTCCAGTTTTCTTCAGCGTCTCTGTGAGAAACTCCACATCCTTGTCGGACTCAATCCAAACCAGATTATTTGGCTGATCGATCTCAAACTTTACATCTGGAAGAAGCACGAGGAGAAACATTGTTGGATTGTTGGTCATGTGATGTGCCTCACATGAGATGAAGAGATGACAGATTTGTGTCATCTGGCCTAAAACATTTGATTGTTATACATGATGATTGGTTGTTTTGGACAGATGGGTCCCTTTGCATGTGTTAAACGCCTCATTCTGAGATTCCAACAGGAGGTTGGCTTGAAACACTGCAATGAAGGTTAGTTATGGGACAGATCTGGTTGGCAGGCCACAGACTGATGAAGTCTTCTGGATGGAAGACGAATCGTTTCTCCCTTAAAGAAACTGGTCCAGATGACATGATTTAACCTTTTTTGGGGGGTCTGATCCAAAGCTAAATCCACAAAAGTTAGAGATAATCTGAAGGAAGATATTTTCTTTAGTTTGTAACAGTAAAGTTCAGACTGTATGACTGAAAAAAAGTAAAAGTGAAACCTTTTATTGACTGAGCAAAATGAAAGTAAAACTATGAGACGAGACAGCATCAGGTGACCCCCGACTCAGAGCCAAGTAGTCCTAGCTAGGTTGGCTGTGATGGAAACTACTTTTAAACAGATTTTAAAAAAAGCATTTTACTTATTTTATTGAGACAAGATTCAACTGAATATGAAGCTGAGGTTTTAGCCAGGATAACAAATCAGGTGAACATTATGTTCTGTCTTTAGGATTTCAATCAAAACGTTCAGCTCACAATTACATAGTTACCCAAAAACTACATATATAATCTTTTTTTTTTACAAGTAAATATTCTTTAGAATGTACCTCATATTTCTCAGTAATCTTGGAATAATGATGTAACTATAGTTGCGCACCGTATCCAGTCAGCGTATTATTATCAAATGAGCCGACCCAGAAACTGCGGGACTTTAAAATTGGTGAAATTGTTAAATAGATTTGTGATGATCAGTAGTTTGCATTGCTTTGACAACATTAATTAATGCATTATAACGTCTTTATTGTTGGCAGCGGCAGCAAAATACAGTTTCTGCTCATCTTCTGAGGCTTGGTGATGAAATAGCTTCCTGTCTTATACACCTGTCATCCTCCTCTTCCTCATCTATTGTGATGCTGTTTCCTTACATCAGTCCAATCCTGGTCCTGGAGGGCCACCATCCTGCATGTTCTAGAGGTTTTCTTGCTCCAACACACCTGATTCAACGGTTGAATCATCTTCACGTTCTGCTGAAACCTTTTAATCATCCATTGTTGGAGCAGAGAAACATCTAAAATATTCAGGTTTGTGGCTCGAGGACAATTAGACACCCCTGCTTTCCAAGCAAACAAAAAAATAATAATTGAAATGGTAATAATGATTTGGCTAATTTAAACACAGCGTTACATGCTGTGTATTTGCCATTTTTAATTTGTTGTAACTGAATTTCCCAGATAAAGATCATCTTATAATAATTGGTAAAAGTGTGTCAAATAAATATTCAAAGGACACGAACAACCATATTATCAAACAAATAAGAATGAAGAAGTTTATTCCTCATGACTGCCAGTAAAATCAACATAAAGAGGGTTAGCAAAGCAAACAAGACAGAAACAATGTGTCTGTTTTACCTCCCAGCTTGTTGAGGACTCTGGTAAGAGCATCTGAACATCCAGTACATTTCATCTCCACCTCAAACTCGTGCCTCTGTTACAAACAGATGTCACTATTTATTATAAATTAAAATTGGAGGACTAGATCACCTATGTAGAAATGCTTCCATGAGCCTGGAGTGAAAGCAATCGTGAATTTTAATATAACTACCATTTTTAATACAGAGACGTCTTCACTAACTTGTTATTATTAATCATTTACCAGAATCATGGCCTATGACTCATAGTATGAGTTTTCAAAGAGCTAGCTCAGGTATGCCTGAACAGACATACTGTATACGTGCCTGAAGGCTTAGCTAAATGCTATCGCTAAGTACTTTAGCTAAACTTTAACAAATAAAACAAAAAAATGAATTGTGAAAAACTCACAGGCATGTTTCCAGTGACGTGTCGGACTTAGCGATAAGACCAGCTGTGAACTTTTGTTTTAAAGTGACACTGAGTATCGCAGAAGTCACAGAAATCTAAAAAAAATGTTCACTTTTTTTCCTAGCTGACCACCATAAAAGCCATAATTCTGTTTCCGGTTAGAATAAAATTCCCGAGTAATTTTTTTTTATATTTTTGCAAAAAATGTTTTGGGCATATTATTTATTATCCCAAAATATTAGTTACATATGTATTAGAAATATGTAACTACATGTATACGTAAATAAAATATAAATACAATATGTAAAATTCATGTGTCGGTATATTTTGAAAAACTTACAACCGGATGTAAGTCTGTCAAGAACGCCACAAATGTGTAGCGTCATCGAGTCTGTTGAGACATTTTTGACCCACATGTCTAAAAGTCAAGAAAGCAAAACAACCCAAAATTTCAAACTTGTCAAAAAAAGTGTCACGATTTCTTATGATCATTATTTTTTTTCCCCCCTAGACTTTCTCCTGTTTTAATCTGGAAATGTACTGGGTGCGTCAGTTTGGCCGTCCCGGGACCGGCGAGCAAATCAAGCGCTTCCAAATCAGTACTTCCTGCTCGTCAAAATAAAAACCTAACCGAGCAAAATGTTTAACAAAAATGCACCGCTTAAAACATACCTATTGTCAGCATTCCGGCACGTTCGTCCATGTCCCCGACCCGCCATTTATTCGTTTAGCTAGCTTGCCAGTTTTCTCAACTAGCTAGCAACCTTGAAGCGGGTTTGATCCGTCTCTATGGCAACACGTCGAACGTGCTCTGTCGGGTCATGTGACCACACCGCTGGCTCCCCTCAAGGGGAACTGTCTGTTTTGCTAGTCTCAATCCGTGCCGCGTCGTCGCCCGGGCTGCCGCTCTTTGCTGGTTCCTGATATGACTACGATACGAAAATAAGAGGTCTGCGGTCAGGTCGCCCGGATAAAGGTGTGGATAGAGGGGAGGACAGACAGCGAGGTAAGCTGGAGCTTGTGGGCCGAGCTGCCACAGACGGAGAGGATGGCATCGGAATCTGCAGCTAACATTGCTAACTCAGTCTTCGTGCTCAATTTACCTCCTTCTTAACTATTTATTATTTAATCTAGCATTGCTGTTATAATTAGGCTCAGCTTGTTTAGTATCCCTTCAGTTTATGAAGCTGTTGTCGTATAATCCACAGCGTTATTGAGGATATATATTAGCCCAGCACAATAAATCACGAGCTGGCGCTCCAGAACGTCTCTGACAGCCTTTATCTGGGCTTCATGTCCACTTTGACAACCTGCACGGCTCCCTGCCAAACATGACCTCCGAGGATAAAACTGTGCTCATCTGCAAAGAGCTCATTTAAACTCAACCAGAGCCAGGACTTAACATGCAGCTTTCATTTACTGACATTTAGAGTTTTTAATGCAACATCATTTGAGGTAACTTGAGATTACAATGATCTATTTCGGATTAGTCACAGTCTGTTTAGAAAACCTCAATAGCATTGCTTTTATAAAAAACAAAAAGTACAGCATTTGTTTGACATGTGTCATGCAAATGATTTGCAAGGTTCGTCTTCTCAGATGTGATTATTGGGTTTTATCATGAACACCAGTAGCAGATGATAAAGATGAGTTGCATGCAAAATAAATATGTTTTTTTTTTAAATCAGGATGTAGAGTTTAACTGCATGTCTACAGAGACATCTATAATTTATTTAATAGACGTGATGGATATTTTGCTCTAATTTGTTTTTGTATAAAACATCTTATCAGTAGGTTGTGAAATTTAGCTTCAAGATGTTTCACTTCAGTTCTTAGGAGCAGACATGGCAGAAAGAGGACACCAGATTAGTTCAGTTCTTCTGAGTCACGAGACGACGCAGAAAGTGCTGATGAAACGACTCGTTTTGTCGACACACACACACGTTACACTGCAGTTATTGTGCGAGTCATTTTGTTGCTACTAAAAATGAAAACGCCGCACAAGAGTTTGTTCAGTTTTTCTTCAAAAGAGCTGCGTTTAGTCTTAACCGTTAGGTGTTTTTATATCATGTAAAAGCAGAATATTTTCCCAATTAGGATGTTTTTTAAAACGGTTTATTGGCCTGGACCGTTCAACGCTGATCGCAGAATAACCGAAGAACTACCAAACTTCTCTTCAAAGATTTTAAACTGAAAGTTACATTTTTAGTTAAATAGAATCAGCAGTGGTGTTTATCTCCATGCTTTTTATTTGAAAGATCAGTGACAGAAAATTTGTACTAAATTACGAAAACGTAACAGCTTTTTGTCTGGTTGCAATTTATTTGTCAGGTAATATTGAAACAAGACATAATTTACTGAAGTCGGCTGCATTAAAACGAGTTGAACTACATTTAAAGTTGTGTCAGGGATAAAGTTTGCCTCTGGATACAGATTTATCTTGTATACAAATTAGCTGAAACAAACAACGTTTTGTCCAGCAAGTTTTAATCGTTGGCCATGTGCTGATCACCTATTAAAATGTTTATTTTGTATTTGTCTGGTGGAGACAAATTCTTCCTAATAAATTACATTTAAAAATCTGCATTTTTTATGGGTTTCCTTAGTATTTTTTTGTGAAAAATGTACTTTAATAGCAATAGTTGTTCATAGGATGTTTGGTTGAACATTATTTCACCAGCTGTCATGTCAGGTAATCTATTATTTTGATCAATAATTAGTTTTTAACACATGATACTGGAGCAGAAGAGAAATCCAAAAATGATTAAATTGACCATCTTTTGCGGTCTGCTTCAAAACTCAGTTTTGAGTTTAGACTCGTCCAGAATCGTTTGTGTGATTTCATGTTTCTCTGTAAACGTGTTTCAGCACGTCTTAGAAAAAGTGATTGTCATTACATAGCGTTTCTTTTAAGTTATAGATAATTAAAAAACAATAAATCTTCCAAAAACAATAAATCGTGTTTTGCGAGTTTACCAGTTTAATGCAGTTTTCACAGTTGACTCTTCACAGCAAACACTGTTCTTTCAAACTTGGTGCTTTCTTTTTTTAAGAGCTCGACCTGCTGCTGCATCTTAACACGGAACTCCTCTGTCTCTCCCCAGTTGGAGCCGTCAATGCCGAGCTCTCCGACTTCTCTACGTTAGAGTTCGTAAAGCTGAGAGAGACGTCAGCCAACCGCCCGAAAACTCCACCTGATCCACCATGATGGCATCCAGCGACGTGGACACCAGAGCCGATGGTAGGAGACTAAGGAGTAGAGCCTGACCGATATATCGGTAGTACTGATATTTTAGGCCGATATACGATATTGGTGATAATTGGTCCATTATGCACAGATATAAACTGCTGGGAACCAGCTGTAATGGTACAATGTATCCAACAGAGGGCGCATGCAGACTACTTTCAAGTCATTGCCATTCACTTAAGTTTCACTTTCAGCACAGCCGAAGCAGCGAGCAATACTGTGTAGCGTATTTTGTTGAACAGAGTACGGTAAATTTATTGTAACGGATCTGTAAAATAAAATAAAAATCAACAAGAATAAATTCTCTTCGATCCTCCAACCTGTTTGTCATCAGCTACGTGCTTCTCAAGTTAGCAAGCTAACATTTAGATAACCTAGCATGGGCTACCGCCTTGTAAAACTTTATCCAGAACAATGAATCTAACGTAGAGGTAAAATATATCGGTTAGTAACGTTATCTTTGTCGTCCGTCTGAAATCTTTACTTCTCTGCAAAGAAAAAACAAAATGCAGCTGCGGTAAATATACAATATACCATACATGACTGACTCTTCAGACAATGAGCAGGGAAGGTGTTTTTTTGTTATATTTATATTTTTGTAACACACTTGATAACTTTATGGTGAATAGTGGAGGATAGAAAATGTGAACTCACGTTAGGAAGACTGTTTCAAGACTTTAAGTGTTAAAACAGGTTTAAAAGAATCTGTTTACGAGGGGTGGACAAAGTTGAAACTTTTCCAGCCCTATCGGCATTAACCTTCCCCTCCCAGGATCGGTATTGACGATGGCCAACATTTCCATATCAGTTGGGCGTTACTCAGGAGTGCTGATTTATTTATTTTTTTAATGAACGTTGTGACGAGATGGACAAACGACAGGCTGAACTTGGTCTGTGTTGTAGACTGATTAGGTTTAATCCCACTGGGCAGGAACAATGAGTCATCACTTCGTTTGTAGAGTTGACCTACTGCCCTGCTTGGTGTTTTGTTTGGGGAAAGGGTCACTTCAATTTATTAAACAGTCACTTAATCATTAAGTTACCTACAACGTTTAAAACCAATTACAGTAGTTTTATTGTGAATTATCACTTGTTTTTGCACCGTTAAACTTTTATTTATCACCATCATGTGGACTTATTGTGCTTCTGTTGCACATTTTTATAATATATTTCACATGAAACTCATTCCCTCCAATCAAATGACTCCAAATGGTCTTTAAACCTTAAAATAAACCCTGCCAGTACGTGTTGCGTAACAGTCATGAGGCTCCAGGTCGTTGCCTTCATTAACGGGTTTAAAGGATGGGCCTCAGTTTTATTGTCGTGTGTTTTCACACTGTGGACGCACATTCCTCTGGTCCATGGGACTTTCATCTTGTCAGCTGGTCTCCTGGAGTCTGGGTGCTGCAGTAGGGACCCGTCTTTGCCTGTTAATATGTTTGAATAAATATGGGTGTAATCTGTTCTTGTTGCATCACATCCCAGATTTGGATGATTCTGAATTGATCTTCAAATGTCTAAAATTAATTTAGTTGTCTTTAAGTTCTCTTCCTTGAATCTCCACTTTATCGTGGTGGAGGAGTTTGTGCGCCTGAATGATCCTAGGAGCTATGCTGTCAGGGTCTCCCAAGGCAGATTGGTTCTAGGTGACAGGCCAGACAAAGAGCGATTCCAAAGACTGACGGACATAAAACATCAAGGAACTCCGTGTACCTTGTCTGGACATGGTTTAGCGGGGTCCCACCCTAGAGCCAGGCCTGGGGGAGGGACTTTTCGGTGAGCGCTTGGCGGCCAGGTCACTACCCATGGTCGGGTTCAGCCTGAATGAGCAACATGGGTTTGCCTTCATGTGGGCCCACCACCTGCAGGAGGGGCCATATGAGTCGGGTGCATGATGCCATGGGCAGTGGCCGAAGGCGGGGACCTTGGTGCTCTGACCATGGCTTACCAAAGCTGGCTCTTGGGACATGGAACCAATGTTGCCAGATAAGAGTCAAGGTTTTCCAGCTCAAAAATCTATTAAAAACCATCACATCACACAAAAATCCACCCAATCAATATATTGTTACAGGATATTTACGGTTCAAACATAAACGCACATCAGTACAAGCCAAGGTAATTTAACAATATGTGGCAAAACGCAACAGTCCAACAAAAATCTTCCCAGAGTTCCCAGCAAAATCAGAATGACAACTGCCCAGCTGGCAGTAAACCGCCCAATCTGGCAACACTGCGACCTCTGTGGTGGGGAAGGAGCCTGAGCTTGTGAGGTTGGAGGTACCGACTATATATAGTTGGGCTCACCTCGACACGCAGCCTGGGCTCTGGAACCGATCTCTGGACCTTATTCCGCTCTGGAGTTGCTCATGGTGAGAGGTGCCGAACTGGTGTGTGCATACACTTAGCCCCCCGACTTGGTGCCTGTGTGTGGGAATTTTACCCGCGACCCGACTTGGGACCAAGCGGAAGATGATGAACGGATGGATGTCTTTAAGTTGCGTTGCCGCTTCAGGAGACCCAGCTGCACAGTTGCTGCACGGTGCCGTTTGCTGTAGCTGAAACACGTTGCTGTGCGTCTTATGTTCCTTTAAGTTATAGTTGAATTTATCTCAACACGGCTGTCTTTAGCAGCAACTCTGAAATGTTTGATTTGTGGATAAATAGCCACAATGCTAATTGTGTTTAGCTTTTCGTGCTGTTTTTAGCATTAAGTTAGCATCTCTGCTAATTGTTGGCCACTAGCTGTGATAATCAAGGTTATTTATCATATATTGTATTAGGTGTTACAATATTTAATTTAATGTTTGTTTAGGAAAAAGCCATTTCAGTGTAAATGTGTGTTAGTTTCAACATTTCAGTTAGACATAAGCTCTCCAGCTGCCTCCTGGTGTTTATTCACAAACATACTTGCAGATAATCGTTTTATAATCTCATTGCAGCCCTTTGAATCATAATCCTGTCTAACCGTGAGGCGTCTAAAAGATTCCCACACCTACCTTTTGTTTTTCTTAACCAGGTGGTGTGGGGTGGACACTTTGACTTGTCAAACTGGCCCGGGGGTGGGGGGTAGTTTAACACGAACAGATCACATGATCACTCGGAAATGAAAGTGTTTGTGGTGATGTCGGTTCTCATCAGACAGCAAACAGACATGAGTGGAGTTTACTTTGTAACCACAGTGGAGGAATAATACAAATACATGTACATGTTTTTGAGTTCTTTACATTTCGGAGTTAACGACTGAAATAAACACTAAATTAAAATTGGAGAACTTGAATTTCCTGTGAAATCCAGTTGTTTTCCTGTTTCTTTTCATTCAAGATCGTTTTCATAATAATAACCCTAATACCTTATTAATATGACTAATTATGGCATTTTTAAACTTAAATTGATATAAAAGTTTAACATATATAATAATTTGTCTTACAATTTGGACAAATTGTGTTTCTAAATTATTCTAAATATTAAAATATTTACATTATTGATTACATTAGTATTTAGTCTTCCATCATTTTTAACTACCTATATAGAAATAAGCATAGAGGCTGAATAGATTACAACAATTATGAACAAAAAACATTGAAACAACAGAAAAATGCTGAAATTAACTAAAGAAAGTGGCTATAAAAGCTTCATAAATATCTTAAATTTACAGAAAGAAACTGAAAGGAGTATAAAAAGTTGAAGTTATTTGAAAGAATCACAAAAAGTATTTAAAAAAAATTATTTCTTTGGCTAAATTAGCTGAAAAAACAGTAAAAAAGCATTATTCATTAGAAAGAAGATAAAAAAAAGTACAAAAACTTTCAAATTAGCAGGAGGAAGTTGGAAAAAAAGCAGAAAAATAGCTGTAAAATCTGAAATAACCAGAAAGAAGCTGAACCAGAAGACGAGCTGAAATGAGCAGGAAAAGGTTTTAAACAGCTAAAGGTTTTGAAGGACGTGAAGAGAGCGCCGTTCATTTTCAACGAGGGAAAAATGGCAGAAAAAGTTAAATATTTCAAAAAGTAAAAATTGCACAAATACTAAAAGTCACAGCAGGAATGTCCTGAATGAGCCGAACGTCTTGATGTAATTAAATGGTTGAAATAGCATAAAAAATAGTTGATAATAAAACTTTAATATTGTGAATGTCACTGCAGCTTTTGGTTAAATCTTTTTATGCATTTTACACTAATGTATTTTATTGTTTGTATTGATTTTATTGGTCTTGCGAATCAGACAACCGTGTCTAAACGTGACTAGCCTGCATAAGTAAAGGAAATAAATGAGTAAGCGTTCACACATTGAAGACAAAAAGCTTAATTCTAAAAGAGGAAGTGGCTCAAATTACTGAGATGTACATTCAGAATAAAAGCTGGTTGTGCAATTCTCTTACAGTATTCAGTTATCTATTGCAAAAGATCAGAATGTTCAGTAAAAATGTGACGCCGACATTTCCAAAACCTGTTTCCTGAAACGTTTTTTAGTTACCTGATGGCGATCAGATACAGGTCCGAGCTGCCACGGAGGGAAAACGTTTTCCACATTTGGATTTTCTCTGGACACGACCCACTGCAGGACCTCCTACTGAACCAAACCACACAAGCAGCAGATTGGGAGCCTCAGAGAAGCATCGGCTCGTTGTCCTTTGTGTAGTTAAAGGATGTCGGATTGCACAATGTTTTGGGGGTGCGCAATTTACCACCAAGTGTGAACGGAGGCCACAGAGCCGACCGCTCGCAGTTAAATAATCCAAAATGAATTTGTAGCAACTAATCTAAAACGCCTCAAAATGAAGTGGTCACGATTAGAGCCCGACAGATGTGGAAATTTTGGCTATCGCCGATATCGATATTTGGAGGGAAGGCTAATGCGATAACCGATATATCGGCTTTTAAAGTGTGTTTTATTTGCACATGATACATTTTTTTTGTGTTCGGGTGAAGATATTGAACGGATGTTAGAGATGATACAGGCAGAATTCGTAAAAATACAAACTTGGTTCCAACTTAATAAGTTCTCGTTAAATTAGTAAAAAAACAAACCACATGATATTTAGTAATAGAAATAAAATCATCAAAGTCCCATTTAAAATTGACAGTAGTTAAATTCATAGAGTTAATGGAATAAAATGTTTGGGTGTTATTGATGAGAAGCTGACGTGGAAATCTCATGTAAATTACTTAAGAATAAAAACAGCAAAATCTGTTGCATTACTGTATAAAGTAAAAGAGTTGTTGAACGACAAAGCTTTATATATATATTGTATAATGTAATGATTGTTCCATATTTAATCTATTGTATTCAAGTTTGGGGAAAAGCGTGCAAAACAATTACAAACCCTGTTTTTATTTTACAAAAAAGAGCTGTAGGGATTATTAGTATGAAGAGCTATGGTCATGCAACAAATATATTATTTCATTAATTTAAATGATTAAAATTTTATGATTTGGTTGAATATATAGTATTGTACAAGTCATGTATAAAGCTCATAACAATATCACCCTCAAATATTCAATTAAATGTTGTTATAAAAGCGAGTCATTATAACTTTAAGAGAATGGAAATGTTTGTAAAACCTCCATTTAGAACTGGTGTGAAGGAGCTGCGTCGTCTTTCAGGGACCAGGATGTGGAATTGCCTCTATCACCATAAAAACTTCTAAAACAGTTTATATGTTTTAAAAGAAATATTAAGATTGTTGGGAAAGTATGATGCCATGTGAAGGATGCCTGATGTTTTTTTGTTTTCACTTTGTGGATTGTTCAAGTTGTTGTTTCTAGTTATTTAACTTTTTTTAATTTTTAATAAGGGGCAGATATTATAAGAATTTTCTTCTTCTTTCTGCACCCTTTTCATTCAGTGTTTTTTTTTCTTTCTTCTTTTTGACAAATTAGTTTTGTTTATTTCAAATGAACGAATAAATAAAAAAAAAAAAAAAAAAAGTTTGTCCATTCCCAAGAATCTAATAAACAGCCACTTCTTTTAAATCATTTTGAACACTTGACTCTTCCTAACGTGAGCTCACGTTTTCTATCCTCCACTATTCACCACAAAGTTATAAAGTGTGTTACAAAAATCTAAATTAAACAAAGAAACACCTTCCCTGCTCGTTGTTTCCACAGCCCGTCATGTATGTTATATCGTATATTGACCGCAGCAGCGTTTTGTCCTTTTCTTTGCAGAGAAGTAAAGATTTCAGACAAATGATGCATTTCATTGAGGACGACAAAGATAACGTTACTGATATATTTTACCTCTACGTTAGATTTATTGTCCTGGATAAAGTTTTACAAGGCAGTAGCCTATGCTAGGTTATCTAAACGTTAGCTTGCTAACTGGAGAGTTATGTAGCTAATGACGGGCAGCTTGAAGGATTGAAGAGATTTTACTATTGTTTTTTTAAAATTTATTTTGCAGATCAGTTAAAATAAATTTACCACGCTCTGTTCAGCAGAATATACTACACAGTGTTTAGTTGCTCCTTGATTCGGCTGCGCTGAAAGTGAAAGTTAAAGTGAACGGCCATGACTTGAAAGTTGTCTTCATGCGCCCTCTGCTGGATACATTATACAATTACACCTTTTGCAAGTAAGGACAGGGCTTGTTTCCAGAGTTTATAATGGTGCATAATGGGACAGTTATCACAGATACCGATATGTCCCCAAACGCCTAAAACATCAACCCTACTGAAGATCGGTGGGGCTGTTGTCATGTTCACTTTTGTTTTTCTCAGAAGGTTGTTGTAAATCTGCCGGCACAGGCAGCTTTATAAGCCCAGAAGAGAGGAGAGAACACGCCTTCAGTTCCTCCAACCTCACACAACCACACTATCAAAAACTATTTTTATGTGATTATCAGTTTGTCACCACAGAGCAGAAGTACCATCACCAGTACCATGAGTCCAGGACTCCCAGTGTTATGTTACCATTAGAAAAAGTCTTTCTCTTCATCTCTTCATTCCCTTTCTTCTCGTCTCAGGCTCGTTCTACTCCGACCAGAACCCATCAGAGTTGGACGCTCTGTGTCCGTCTCCTCCAGGACCGTCCAGACCCCAGAGGAGCTATGAGAGGATTGGAGGAAGAACAGGAACCACGTGAGTATCGGGAGCATCAGTCAGGTTGTGATCGGCTTCTGCTTTAGATGAACCTCATTAGTTTTTTTTTTTTTTTTCAGGTTTTGTCAGACTCTGATTCACCTGTTGAAGGGGAACATCGGTACTGGCCTGCTGGGCCTGCCTCTGGCCATAAAGAACGCCGGGCTGGTGGTAAGCAAACAGCGTTATCATCTCAGTACAAGTCTGGACTTCAATAATTAGATTCTGCTCCGGATTTTGTCAGAGATTTATGACAGACGGCACACAGCAGGAGCTGCAGTCTGCGTTCGATGTGCAGCTGCCAGCAGGTCGTCGTACTCGCATATGAACACGAGGCTTTTCAAAATAAATGAACATACCAGTAAATAAATAAAGGTGTTAATGTTACCTTTGGAAACGCAGGCGCTACTGTCTGATGGGAAATATTTACAAGTTGCTTCAATATTATTGTCAAAATAGTAAGAGAAAAACAAAAAAGAAGACGCTTCCACCTTCATCTGCCAAAAATAATAATTAAAACTGCTATTTTGTGAAGATAAATATACGGAGCTTCTCAGATTTGACAATTTTTTTATTAAAGATTTGTTTTATAAACTAAGGATGTCCCTGATGTTCTCATGATCTGGGTTTATTTGAGGCGCAGATTTAATTCCCAGCAGCGCTTCACAGAACTGACCTAAAGTAAATCACGATTCTGCCTCTCACTTTGCCCTTTTCTGTTTTTCCGCCTCCAGCTTGGACCCGTCAGCCTCCTGATTATGGGAATTATTGCCGTCCACTGCATGAAGCTCCTGGTGAAATGTTCCCACCACCTCAGCGCTAAGTAAGTAAAAAATAAATCTGAATAATAAACCTGGACTTCATGATGCGTTATGAGGTTAACCACTCGGCTTCATCCAGGCAGACATGATCGGATCGACACATAAATTAAACTATAAAACCAGAGGAAAGACAAAATACTAACCAAGAGAAACCTCTTGTGAAGTACAGTAACAAACCATATTTTCTGCCGTACACGTTGCTCCACCCTATAAGTCGCATCAGTCCAAATATGTCTAATAAAGTGGTAAAATCCATAAATATGTTGTTTCGCCGTATATGTCGCATTTATTACGAGTCACCGCTGACAACCAGGAAATGTGGGCCGGTGTTGTGCCAAAAATCGATTGGCTGCCAAATGGCGTCCGCGGGCGTTTGCACGGGAGGATTTTAACAAGAATTTAACAAGATTAGCACTTAATTATTTGTTTGCTCGAAATTATAGCAAAGGTGAATCTCAGTCTAACTTTTCCTTAATAAATGCACTTTGACGGTGAAACCAGCTTCATTTCAAAAGCCGATTCTTGGCTGCGTGAGGGACTTTCTGTGCATTTCTTCGAAATTTAACAAGATAACCACCTAAAACAATTATTTATTTGCTTGACATTATAGTAAATGTGTGTCTCAGTTGAACTTTTACTTAATAAATGCACTTCAATGGTCAAATTAGCTGCATTTCGTCGGTGCGGTGCAGCGAAATGAAGCTGATTTCACTGTTGCTCCAGTCGAGCTGGATGAAGGTGGCTCTATAGCAAGCCATTTGTGCCATTAATAGCCTTTTTTTTTTTAACCTATTATATGACACAACGGCATGCCATACTCTTCGAGTGCCATCTAGCGGCTGAAAATGGTATTGTTCAATATTTTCATTCAGGATGAATTAAAACAGTAATATCTCAGCCAATAATTGATTTATAAATATGGGAAAAAAATCCATAAATACATAACTTTGGCATATAAGTTGCAGGGCATGGAAATTACGCAAAAAAAAAGTGACTTATAGGCCAAAAAATATGGTAAACATACCACTAAATATTGATATTTTTTAAATATAAAAAGGCTCTTTAAAAAGTTTTACCTACTCCCTGTCCAGTTACTCCCAGTGGGAGTGGTTATCTGGTCAGCTGTGGCTGAAATGATCTTTTAGGTCTCTTAGGCATCAGCTCTCCATCCAACAGAGGACCCAGTTCATGGGTTAAATGAGTTTCAGCTCGTTTCCTGGCTACAAGATGTTTTTAATGCAGCTGAAGGCTCCTGACGATCTTCACACGAACCTGCCTGCAGAAACAGACATGCATCATACACGTATGGATGAGCTTCTGCACAGTGACTATCCTGAGTCTGGTTCTGCTAAAGGTTTCTCCCTCATGAGGGAGTTTTTCCTTTCCACTGTCACCTTCATGTTTGCTCAAGATGAGAGTTCTTCCATGGAGTTAAACTCAAAGCAGTTTGCTCCTCAGATAATTCATATTAAATTATTATTTTTATATATGAATGTTTCTGTTCAGTGCCCTGAGACGACTTCCGCTGTGACTTGGCGCTATAAAAATAAACTGAATTGAATTGAACTGATTTACTGTCCAGCAACTTGCTTTGTTCCACAACTAACAGCAAAAGCTCTTTACGTGCAGCTTGAGCTCTCTTTTTGTCTCTGAGAGCAGCTTCTTCTCTAGTTTGTCTTCTAACCAGACAGAAAACAAACGCAGGCTGCAGAGGTGTCGAATCCTGTTACAAAAGGGCCAATTTCAATCAACACATTAATTCAAGTCAGAAACCAGACATTTTTTCTTGGTTTCAAGCTTCTCAACAAGAGTTTGATTGATCTCGTTGGACGTTCTCTGTTACTCTTTCCACACAAATAAAAAAAATCAACCTGAAAATGTAAATTTTTTCAGATTCAAAGTTGCCCACATGTGCTCAGATTTTAATGAGAATGGAAAATGAGAGGCAATAAAAATGTCTTGCATTAAAAACATCATCTCAGGGGCCAGATAAGATTTTGACGAGGGCTGCATTTGGCCCTTGAGTTTCTCATGTAATTTATGGGATTAGAATTAGCTCCTCCAGATCTGAGGCCGTGGTCCTCAGATGGAAAAAGGTGGACTGCTCTCTTCAGGTTGAGGGTGAGGTTCTGCCTCAAGTGGAGGAGTTCAAGTATCTCGGGGAAGAATGGAGCGTGAGACTGACAGACGGATTTGTGCAGCGTCACAGTATTGCGATCTCTGCACCGGTCCGTTGTGGTGAAGAGGGAGCTGAGCTGTAAGGCAAAGCTCTCTGTTTACCAGTCGGTCTACGTTCCTACCCTCACCTGTGGTCACGAGCTCTGAGTAGTGACTGAAAGAATGAGATCGTGGATACAGGAAGTTGAAATTAGTTTTCTCCGCAGGGTAGCTGGACTCTCCCTTAGAGACAGGGTGAGAAGTTCAGTTATTCAGGAGAGACTCGGAGTAGAACCGCTGCTCCTCCACATCGAGATGAGCCAGTTGAGGTGGTTCGGGCATCTGGTAAGGATGCTTCCTGGGTGCCTCCCCAGGGAGGTGCTGCAGGCATGTCTGACTGGGAGGAGACCCCGGGGAAGACCCAGGACACGCTGGAGAGACTCTTGGTTGGCCTGGGAACGCCTTGGGGTCCGCCCAGCTGGGCCTCCCTGCTCAAGCTGCTGCCTCCGAGACCCGACTTTGGAACAAGCGGAAGATAATGGATGGATGGATCGTTTGTGTTATGTCTGTCTCTGTCTGTGCAGTTAGATCTCGAGTCCAGGAGGTGTTTTTGTTTGGAAAAAAAAAACAATTCTGTCTACATTCTTATTTGTTTTCCAAGTTGTCTGGTCTGTGCCAGCTACAGATTATTTGTTGTCGACAGATTACACTCCATTAAGACTCTGTTTGACACTCTGTAGGCAGAGCGGCTGTTTGTTGGCTGTTCTGAGCTTCACCAGTCAGAGGTGGTGTTATTTCACTCGTGCTGCTGCAGATCCAAGCAGCTGAATCATTGTGGCCATCAGACACGTTCATCAGCAGTTTGTGTTGACTGCCGAAGACTCGGTTGGTTTCAGGCGTGCAGCCAGCACTGCCTCTGACAGTTAACCAGTCTCCTGCACTTTGCCCAGTCACTTAGGGATCTCCAGCAGCCCCACCCAGCTACGTCAAAGAGGATTAAGCAGCTCAGGAACGTGAATGAAGACCTGGTACACGGTCAGGAATAGTTTCTGCTTCAGCCTGACCAACGCAGAGAAGACGTGCTCATTGTACAAAAAAAAAAAAAGAGCTCTTCCTGTTTCAGAGGCTTTTTCTTTCAGAGACTCATCACATCCTCTTTTAGATGTTGAGGGGTTACGAAACATCAGCTCTACATCGGTCTGGTTATCTGTTGAGAATGCACAGAAAACAGTTTCAGGAAAATCTCACTTTAAGCTCCTCTCTCTCAACCTGTCAGGTAATCGTTATCACCTGCTGCCCAAAGGCAAAGATACAGCATTGATGTTTGTGTGTGCGCATATTTGTCTGGGTCAGCTGTGGCTGAGTGGATAGAGCCGTCATCCTCCAGTGCAGGAGCTGAGGGTTCGATTCCACCAGCAGTCACACGCCGAAGTGTCCCTGGGCAAGACACTGAACCCCTCGTTGCCTCCGAAGTTGTCCCATCGGTGTATGAATGTGATAAAGCTCTGGTTATTCTTTGTATATGGTAGAGTGCTGTGCGAATGGGTAAATGAAGGCACAGATTGTGTTGAAAAGCACTTTGAGAATCTTGATAAGATAGAAAGGAGTTGTATAAGTACAGTGCATTTACTGTTTTGTTATTGAAATACCTCATGAACCTTCAGAGGAAAGAAACTTGTTCAAATACAAGATGGCTGCCACAGCAAACTGACCTCAAAACACAGAAATGGTTAGAACTCTGCTAGTTTTACAGATAATGATAAAGTTTGTCGTCAATGTTTTGAGCACATTGCACAAAAAATAGTTGTTTTTTTTATTCAAATTTGCCATTAACTATTTGGAATCACTCTGTTAGCAAAATATTTCTTGAAGCATTGGAAGGATTTGATGAACATTTTAGTAGAAAAACGTCTACAACTGATTTACCAATTTACTTTAGAAAACTTAAAAAGGTTATAACTCCGTAATGAGCTGAGAGTCATTGGTGTTTGCAGTTCATCGTTCCTTAATTTTATTTTGTTTATTTCTTTGTGATTTTGCCGACTTTCCAGGATAAACAGGCCGTCCTTGTCTTACGGTGAAGTGATGCAGTATGGGATGGAGAACGTGTCGTGGCTGAGGAGACATTCACATTGGGGAAAGTAAGAAGCGTGTTTACGTCACGCATTCATTCCCTCCTTATAAATTAATATGTATATCTTATAAATCATACTGTAAGGATTTGTTTTCTACAGCTAGTTTTTACACAATAACACAGAAAGCTGTTGATGAAACTTGTTCCAACTACTGACAGTAACTACACAAGTATTAGTGGGGTGGATACTGGTTTTCAGTAACCACACAGGAGATGCGCTGCTTAATATTTATTTGTTTTTTTTTCTCCTCCTGAGTGTTGAGTTTGTGTCCCGTGAAAACAGTCCGGTATAATAATTAAATCAGACCCACATCCACTCCCATCCAAAATGTTGTTTTATGTACATAAAATAAAATTAGCAGGTACAAAGCTTACAGGACTGGATTTTAAATTCAGTTTAAAGTAAGCCACATAACTGAATCAGATCCACCTGCAGGCGATCTAAGTGTAGATAGACATGGAAGATGAGCCTACCATGTTGGAGTAAAATGTTAAATGTCCTGTTTATCTCCCCTCTCTCTTTATGGATGATGTTGACTGCAGATTGTAAGAGCTGGAAAACTTTATCAACTGATTTAGCTCGACAATGAACAACCGTGCCGTGTAAGAAATGTAAGGATGCATCAGGAATGACGTGATCTACATTATTTATGTAGATTGTGAAGATGGTGGGTCCTAAGACTGAGCCTTGTGGCACACCGTTGTTGATGGTTAGATAACTGGAAGAAGTACCATTATGTTGAACACATTTGCTTCCAATCTGAGAGATGATTAGAGAACCAACCGATGTCCGAGAGCTTCTGGCACAAGATGTCATCAATAAGTAGTGGTCATATATGAGCTAAAACCAGCTGAATGTGTCCATAGGGTGAAAAGATTTCGGCCTTCTTGTGACTCTGTTGGAGCTGCCTGCTGTACTGGTCACTGCTGACAGGCCGGCATGATAAATCTACTGACGAACGCTCAGTAATGGCAATAAAACTGAGTGAATCGTTTAAAAAAAACATTAAAAATTCCATTTAAAATTGTCCAACTCGCTCAAGAACACACATAACACAACAATACACAGCAAGATAAGTCTATGTAATTTACAATATCTATTTAGAGGAACTACTTTCTGGAGCAAATCTTTTATTTATTTATTTTAGGTGTGGCTGAGCTCCACCTGTTTTTATGGACCAGCCGCCCCCGACCTTTTTAACCATCTGTTCTGTGTTTCAGACGGACGGTGAACTTGTTTCTCATCATCACACAGATGGGCTTCTGCTGCGTCTACTTTGTCTTCCTCAGTGACAATGTCAAGCAGGTGCGTTCTGACGCCCCCCCCCCCCCCCACACACACACACCAACATGCTGAACTTTGCCTCCTGCTTGTTTCAGTCCTTCGCTGATCGTTAGAGAATATTTGCTCTGTCAGCATGGCATCCAGGTTACTGTGTCCTCTGATCTTTGACCTTTATGTTTTTGAATAATCTGAATAATTCTGTTGTAAATACGCAATATATTTCAATATATTGAACATTTTCTATAGCTTTTGTGCTAGCTTCAAAATCCAAACGGTCTTTTTAGATGCTCACTGAAGGTTTTTTTCCCTTTTGGATGGAAATTTCCACAGTTATGTAACGTAGACAACGCTGTCAGCGGTCAATCATACCTCAGCACGTAGCCGAAAAAGGTCAATATCAGAAAAAAATAGGGCAGAAAAACAACTGGTGCTCCTTTGATTTTAGTTAAAACGTGTTAACATGAAACCTTCACTCTGTTTCCCTGTAACAAGTTTTAATGCACGTCTTAAACACAACACAAAGTTTTCATATGAGCCCATTGTGGCGTCAGGTTAGTGTCCCATCTCTGATGCATGGACGATGTCTTTAGTCCTAATAGGTCAAGATGTGTAAAGTTTAAATATAACAAAGTAAATTCATGCCACATTTTTTTAAGTCTTCTTTCAACTCAAAAGCTTGCGACCAAATGTGGCCACTGCTGCCTTTGACCTCTGAACTCTTTATTGATCGATTGTTTCAGTTTAATTTAGAAATTTATATTAACTTTTTTTTTTTAAAGTCAATTCCTTTTTGCTGTTTGTAAAAGTAAAGTACGTTTTTAGGCTGTCTATAAACATGACAGACCCAGAATAAAATAAAAATCTGCAGTGTAGCTTCCTGCCAGTAGATGGCAGCATCTACCTTTTTGTCACCCTGAACCAAACCCAACTTCCATCCATCATCTTTACCAGCTTCTTCCTTTTCGGGTTGAGGGGGTTACTGGTGTCCATATCCATCTATCGCTGTGTGAGAGGTGGGGACACCCTGGACTGGTCTCCAGTCCATCACAGGGACACATGGAGACAAACAACCATTCACTCTCTCTCTCTCTCACCTAGGGACAGTTTAGGGTCACCAATCAGCCTAACAGGCATGTTTTTGGTCTTTCTGAGTTTCTGAAAAACCGAAGTTCCAGTCGGATGAATGTGATGAAAGAGATGTCGAACATCAACATCGTTGTCCTCATCTCCAGGAGGAACATCGTCTGTCTGTCTTTTCTTTAGTTCTGAAGTTAATGTCGTTGTTCCCAGGAGATGATGGTTTCAGAACCTAAAAAGACTCGACAACCCTTGAGGTTTCTGTGCTTTTCTTTCTCGGGGGCTGTGCACACAGACATTCATCTCACAAGACAAAAGATGCGCTGTACCAGATTTAGTTTCTGGTTAATCTCCAGCTGTTGTCTCAGAGCAGGTTAACAACAGGTGCACGTGAACTATTATCCAAACCTTCAAAAACCACTGACCTAAAACGCAACAATGGCACAAAGAGCATCACATACACGACTCAGTTTCTTCAGTTTTCTAACACAGCAACACAGTTCAAATTTCTATCATATATAGATAGTTTGAAAATTGACGTTTTGTTTTAAATTTTTTTTTTTTTTAATGAATTGCAACCAATTCATTATTGCGAGTGCGATAAATAGTGTCGGGATGCTGTTTGGTGCAAAGCTCAAAAACAAGACGAAGTAAGCGAGACGAGCTGCAACATGTGAAACAGGAGAAAGTATTTAAAGGGGCAAAATCGGAACGCTAAAATTCGTGATTACCGGTATCTCCGAACCAGAACGCTGCAAATCACGGTTAGCCCAATAAATAAAAAGATTCAAAGCAAAGTGCGGTGCATTCAGCAGGACACTGGAAGGAGTGTAGCAGAAGAGGAATGGTGAGAGTTGAGGGCCCTCGCTGCCCGAGGACGTTTAAGAATGAACACGATCCTTTTTTAACCCTCGTCTTGATGGACGTAGACCTAAAATAACAGTATTCACAGGATCAGCTGGGTCTTCAATCCAGTTTTAAAAGGAGAGCGTTGTATATATTTTTAATATCAGGAATGTTTAGGCGAATCATTTTTGATGCAGCTTAACCAAACCATACAATTATAGATAAAGTAAGAACATTTTTTTTTTTTTGTAACAGGTCTGTAAAAGTGCAGCATTACAACCTCTTGACACTTTAAACCAGGGGTGCCCAGATGTTTTCAGCATGGAGCTACTTTTAAAATGACCAAGTCAAAATGATCTATAAGACCCCGTTTACATGAGAACAACCTCTGGAAACTTTAGTGTTTTTTCAATGTTTATATAAAAAATGAGCGGGTTTACACAAAAACGCTGCAGATTCCATGTCAGTTGGGTTGCCAGATAAGAAATTATGAACTATAGTACTGTGGCTTTAAAATGATAGTATTTTTATCTAAACTGTCATATGTGCTGAGTAATGATATTCTAAGATGAGGTGTGTTTTGCGTTTGTTGAACACGTGCACAGAAAAGGAGAGGGTAAATAAGACATTTTAAATTTATCTGGCAACCCTCATGCAGGGCTCAGCTGCATTCATTGTGCATGCAGCATCTTTATGACAGTTGCGTACAAAACGGTGAATACCGGTGCGCTAACGTTTCTTTGGACCCTGGATTTTATTAGTTTTGAAAAAAGGTGAGCAGCACAAAACCACTCTGCTCTCTGTCATTTATTATAAAAGTTGTTAGAGCAGAAAAACTTTAAACTGCAGCCGCCTGGAGCGTACGACGGAGCTTTAGGACCATGCTAAAAAAAAAAAAAACGCCATAAAATTACGAGAATAAAGTCGAATAAAGTCTTAATATTATGAGAATAAAGTCGTACAAGACTTTTTTTTCTTGCAGCTCTTGTTTATTACTATTTTTATTTATGTATTTACAATAAAAGTGATAACAAAACATCAAAATCAATATCAACATTATAAAACAAAATGAAGAAGATAATAATGTCAGGGGGTTATAAAGCGAACACAAATAGAATGAATTGTTTTTTTTTTTTTTTCCACGCGTCGGATCCATGACACAACCTGTCAATCAATCCAGTAGGCGTGTCAGCAAATGATCAATCCGAAGCTAAATGCTCCTCACCTGCAGAGCTGCTGCTGCCCATCAGAGGTACCACCTGACTGTAAGTAGGTCCAAAGTCCTGATACTGATAATCTGATGCTGATGTGCTAACAGATTAATTATCTCCTTATTTGTAAAACCAGTACCAAAGTATAACTTAACAGGCTCAACATTCTTCATTTTAGCACAGTTAAAATGAGGTAAACCTGCTTTATCGTGTCGGAGTTCGGATAACATTACGACTCATTTAGCTTCGGATTGGTCATTTGCTGACACGCCTACTGGATTGATTGACAGGTCGCGTCATGGATCCAACTCTTGGAAAAATAAATAAATGAACGAGAGCTGCAAAGAAATACGTCTCATATGACTTTATTCTCATAATTTTATGGCTTTTAATTTGTTTTTCTTAGTGTGCCAATGTATTTTTTTAAATATTTTTTTTAGCGTGGCCCTACAGCTTCGGCGTAGGAGTGCGCATGTGCGACTTCACTTGCGGAACATTTCACTCCTCCGTGGGGGGGATCCCCCGAAAATCTCCACTCTGAGACCTGAATTCAGAAACGTTCGGTTTCAGGGAGGCTGTTGTCTGTAAAAGAACGACCGAACGTTTCACGTCGTGTAAACGGGGCCTCGGACTGACTGCCCCATCTGTCAATCAAGACACATTTCATAGATGGATGATCGGCTGACGTCTAGTTTTTAATGCCATGCCATCTACCCATAATACCTTTGTGATCGGCTCGTCGATCGATCGGGCACCGCTGCTTTAAACTATTCTCATCTCTGATTTTTTTTTCTAAATGTTTATAGAAATAAAGTTAATTTTAATTTGACTGTAGTTCTGATCTCGACCGGTTCCAGAAAATCTTTTTTTTTTTCATGAGGAAAAAGTGTAAAAGCTGAGCTCATTATTCTGTTTACAGACTTGACTTGTTCTAAATGTTCTGGTCCCAGCATAAGATTTGTTCACCAAACCTGCTCGTACATTGAATGTGATGAGTGTCAGTAGTCAACTAAACGTGTTTAAGACTGATTTGTCTTCTCACCTCAGGTGGTGGAAGCAGCCAACTCCACCACCGTCAGCTGCAGACTGAACCACACCAACCAGACGGACATCCTGGTTCCGAGCTTCGACTCCCGCCTCTACATGCTCTGCTTCCTGCCTGCCCTCATCCTGCTGGTTTTCATCCCCAACCTGAAGTACCTGGCTCCCTTCTCTCTGGTGGCAAACGTGTTCATGACTATTAGTTTGGTGCTCATCTACATCTACTCCATCATGGTAACCACCTCATTTGTCTTTTAGCACTCGCTCTGATTTACCTAAGCCTTGTGTCGACCTCATTCCGTTTTTCACGCTGATTAGGTTTACACGCGTTCAAGATGGCAAATAACGCACAGTTTGAAACATGTGGCAGGAACCCAAGACATGAATCATGCGCATGCTGTACAGTGGCATTGTTTCTGCGCCCACAGATTATCAGGAGACTCCAGGATTTACATATCTTGGCCTCATTCTGAGCCTCTTTTGCTGTTTGAATACGCTCCAGTCAGAAAGCTAAGAAGACAACAAATCACTTCAGGGCCATCTGGTTTGAAACATGCTGGAGTTGGTCTTCTGTGCCGTGTGTGTGAACGAGCAATCTGAAAAGACTTATTTAAAGAAAAAGGGCAGTTAAACTAATTTTCAACTTGCTGCTGTGCACGCAGTTCAAACCAAACAGAATTCAACATTCAGGGAAGCAATAAATCTCTTAAACGTTGTAATTAAACGTTTTAATCCGTGTTTAGTGGCTTTACACTGAGAACACTTTTCACCTGAATAAGTTCAATATTAAAGCGTGACTTCACGAGCACACGCTGTGGTCTCAGCGTTGTGTTGAAGTAGAGCATGAAACGTACAGAACAAGTGAGACAAATCAAAGTGTCAGCTAGTTGTCCTGCACGTTTGTTGCAAACTTAGGCATTAGTTTGTGTAATTTTCTTTAAGGAAAATACCGTACTTGCCACCGCACACGTGGCACTGCCGTATAAGTCACATCAGTCCACATATGTCTAATAAAGTGGAAAAAAAACACAAATAAGTCGCATCTGTTACGCGTCACCGCTGACTACCCAGAAACGTGGGCCGGTGTTGTGGCAGAAATCAATTGGCTGCCAAATGGCGGCTGCGGGAGCGTGCACAGGTGGACTTCAACAAGATTTTAACAAGATTAACACTTAAAAACAATTGTTTGTTTGCTCGAAATTATAGCAAAGGTGTGTCTCAGTTTAACATTCCCTTAATAAATTCACTTTAATGGTCAAATCAGTTGCATTTTCAAAAGCCGTTTCGCAGCTGCGGGAGTGCGCAGAGGGAGAACTCGCTGTGCATTTCTTCGAAATTTAACAAGATAACCACCTAAAAACAATTATTTATTTGCTCAACATTATAGTAAAGGTGTGTCTGAGTTGAACTTTTACTTAATTAATGCACTGCAATGGTCGCTGCGCCGCCTAGGCGAAATGCAGCTGATTTGATGTTTGCTCCAGGAGTTCCAGAGCAAGACGAAGGTGGCTTTGTACGGCAAGTCAAGTGTCTCATTAATAACCACTTTTACCTATTAATGAGGCGCTTGGCTTGCCATAATGCTCAAGCACCATCTAGTGGCTGAAAATGGTATCGTTCAATATTGTCCATGTCAGAATTAATAAAATCGTTAGATTTCAGCAAAAAGTTGGTTTATAAGTATGAGAAAAAGACATAAATACGTTGCGTCGCTGTTTAAGTCGCAGGGCATACAAATTCATGCAAAAAGCTGCGACTTGTACAGAGAAAAATACGGTAGCTAAAACTAAGATGGCAAAAAGCAAAATGCCTCAGAGACGTGAATGAAACACCGTGGGAGCCTTCAGATCACACTCGCCTGTTTAACCAGCGTGTTCAGTTATATTTGACAGGGTTCCCAGCGACTCTGGAAATCAGAGAGAGCCTGGTTAAAAGTTTTTTTTTTTTTTACATCTTCCAGACAGGAAAACGTGGAACTTGTGGAAAAAAAACCCATCAAACATCAGAGAAAGCTCAGGGAATCTTCATGCTGGTCTGTTGATTAAAAGACGATCTTTCTGAGATTTTGACGGGTACGTGTGTGAGCGTTCTGGTATCAGTGAATCCACGTTGGGCTTCTTTTTTAATCCCCAAATGGTGAAATTAACTCTTTACATTTTTCTAATTGCACATGTGAGCACACATTTGAGGCTGTGGGCTGCCATTCAAGGTGCCCAGGGAGCAGCTGGGGGGTTAAGGACCTTGCTCATGGGCTCAGAGTGGGGCAAATGAGGGTGGAAGCAGGTGTGGGTGTTTCACCTTTTCCACCCACGTTTTGTTGTCAGTCTGGGGAGTTGAACCGGAGAGTTGACCAGCGACCCTCCAATCTCAGCCCCACCCTCTCTAACCTCTGCGCCACCACTCCCACATTCTACATTGTTCTTAGTACATGCATCCTTAATGATTGACTATATCTGATGATATACAATGTTTAATTATTAGGAATGATCGTCGTACTTCCTCTCATCGCTGAACGAGACTCTGGCTGTAACCTAAGACGCTAAAGTTCCGAGTGTTTCGTGTGACTGAAATATTTCCTGGAATTTCAGGATGTACTCAAGGAATTTTGTTTTCATGAAATACTGGGAACCCTGTTTTAATTGGTGTGTATTTTTATGAATCTGCTTACTTTAAACTTGAAACAGCGCCCATTCTCCAGCTTGTAGCCTCCTCCCGCCTCGCCCGTCCGGAGTGTGTTCGATCAAATGAACAGGAACGGCATCATCGGTGAAAACCACTACCTCTACTTTCCCAGCTTTACAGCTGCAGTGGACACTGGTGACAGATCTGTCGTTATTATCAAGACACTCGGTTCATGAGGCTCACACACCCTGAGATGAAACTCAGCTTTCACGAACAGGAGAGTCCTTTGATGCCTTAAATAAAGCTCAGAGTGGAAATAATTTGAGCCAGCCAACGACTTGTATTCCTTCAGAAGCATCCCAAATATCATAAACAATTTTTAACTACTTGCTCGCTGACTGCACATTTCCACCACTTAACTGGGAATAAATATGAAATTAAATTAGATATGGATCCAGCTACATATCACCCGGAGCATTTAATTTATCACAGTCTTTGCAAAGCGGTCCTGCCTGAATGTGATTCATGTTTTTATTTCTTCTCAGTATTTTGTCTGGCTTCAGGTTAATTCACACTTTTGTTACTTTTGTACCAACCGGTGAGTTGTACGGTGGATTAAACTGTGGGATGTTTGTTTTTTTTCAAGAGGGCGTGAGTGAAGTTCCTGTCAGCCGTCAGTTTGGAGAATCGGGTCGGATTTTGACCAGTTCGATGATCATTGCTCAGAACTGAGCCACAAAAACAGTAAAATGGGCGTTTTTAACCCAACTTACTGGTAAATATCGTAATTTTTGGATTATTGAGTGCACCCGACTTAATAAAATAAATAAATGGATGTTTGTACATACAGTATGTAGGCTGCACTTGTGTATAGGCTGCGGGTGTCCACGTTGTAACATGAGATATTTACACAGAAAGATTCTTTAAACTTTTTTTAGTTAAATGTGCATCGGTACCATACACAAGTACGTACAGTAAATGTTTTTTTTTTTTTTCTGAACAGTGCTCATCACACGGCTGGTTAAAAACAAATACAGCAGCCTACCAGGAAGTCATTGATCGCTATTCCTCCTGCTCAGCTGTCAGGATCCACTGGCAGTGGAGCAAAAGTTGCTCTGCGCATGTGACTGTGACCTGTTTAGTAATTTCACTCGTCAGATTTTTATTTATTTTTTTAACCTTTATTTATACAGGTAGTCTCATTGAGTCATGAGGACCCACCCTCCAAGAGAGATGTGTATGGGGCAGCTACGTGAGCGCCCGGGTGTAACGAGGCTAATTGTTTTGGCGTCACGAAGCTCGTTAGCCTATAAAAAAATAAATCCATAAATTTGCCACAGCATTGTATAAGCTGCGGTGTTGAAAGCGCTGTGTTTCCCCTATGATTATACTCCACCCCCGACAATTGCTGGCACGGACGTAGTGCTAAGCTAGCGGCGTGCAATACAGATGCGCTAGCTAAAAAGCTCCATTTTCCTCACGCTTAGCCGTCTCCACCCCCCCGGCTCAAAAACTGTGTACAAACAGCGCGCAACACAGACACCACTGTCGTTCCCACCCCTTTGACAAAAATCACGGGAGTGGTGAGCACCCTGCCAAGCCAAGTAATGTACGGGTAACACTGAAGCGTGTAAAAAAAAAAAAAAAAAGTAACGGCTTATAGTCTGAAAATTACGGTAATCTGATCTTTTTTTATTTTTATTTTTTAAAGAAATACCTTGGTGCTTGATGAAGATTGATTAAAGTGTGCAGCAGTTTCTTTAATTTTCTAATAAAAAGCACTTCACTAAAATAAGGACCAACACAGTGCCACAAAATAGGTTTATTTAAAGTGTTTAATATTTGAGAAAAATTAGCAACAACGTTAATTAATGATTAATGATTCCAAAGTGTAGCTGGATGAAAATGCATCATTTAGTGTTGGAATAGTTGCCGCGCTCTTTCAGTTTGAGTTGTTTTCGATGGTAAAGGTGGACGCTTGTTGTATTTCTGTAGTAGCGGTTAGCTTAGCTCGTTTATTAGGAACCCAGTATTTTTCTCCAAATTGAGAACCTTCTGTTTGCAGGTAAGACATTCACTCATGAAGACTTGACACAACCTTACTAAACGAAGGAGTATGCGTTCATTTCCTGTCTCGGTAAATTCTGAAATTATAGGTCACAGCAGTTCATGCTAACACAAATATTTAACTTTAATGTTACAACGAAACACACTTTTTATTATAAATTGTTTATTTGAAAATCAGAGCATTTCTTCTGACGTGTGACCTAAAAAAAAGTTTTGCACATTTTGTCCACATTCACCTTGATGATGCTCGTTACACAGAAATGCGTCAATCGAAGCTCCGGTTGGTTCAAAATGACTCGTTAATGGAACTAAAATGTATTAAAAAAACATTTTTTCTCCAAGCCTGCCTTCCTGTTCTGGCTCCGTGTGAGATTCTGTATTGATTTTAAAATCTTATTTTTGACATTTAAGGCCTTAAAAGGCCCTATAGATCACAGACGTATTGACCTGGTTTTTAACTTTCTGCCTGTCATAAACTCTAAATGGTGTCCTGCTAAATGTTCCCAGGTCACCGTTTGTGACAAAGGGAGATTGGTTCTTGTCCATTAGAACCTCCATTTCCTGAAACTTTCTGCTGACTGAACTCGGACACATCAAGCTTCAATCTTCTTTTATATCGTCCTTTTCGTAACGTTCCCTTTTATGAAAGCCTTTGGCTGTGTCTGAAGTGTTTCAGACGTTTTTATTGTGGATTTGGACACCCGTTCGACCTTCGCCGCCTTCTTATGAATACATTTTAAAATTTGTTACGAAAAGTGCTTCTAAGATAAATATTTAAAAAAAGATTAATATTATGTTCTGTAAACAGTTCAGTGAAAGCTGTGGAGCTGTTGAATTGACAGGTGACCGGGCAGATCCAAACTGATTCAAAAGAATTCACAAAATCCAACAAGACGACTCGTCGGTCATAAAAAACTCTTTCATTTCTGACACCATAAAGGAAATAGTTTTATTCCATATGAATCAGTATCATGGTGTGAACTTTATTTTTATTGTGTGAATCATTTGCGCTATTGTTGTCCTTTTTTCTTACCTCTATCATTTTTGTTTTTTTTACTCGCTCCACAATTTTTCAACAAATCACAAATCAAAATCTTGAATTTATTCAGGATGCTCCTGCTATGTCTTTTGGTATTGTTGCAACTTGAGCTTTTTGAAATCTTTAGCTCTTTCTGGCATTTTTCTCTCATTGAGAATGAATTGAGCTCGTTCCACATTATTTAAATCCTTTGATCTGTTTACATTCTTTTACTGCTCAGTTCACATTTTGTTCCGATTCTGCTTTTTTCAGCTTATTTGTGCTAGTTTTAGCTTTCTTCGCCTACTTTAACCTAATTTCAAATAGTTCTTCAGCTATTTTTGTGCTCCTTTCAGCTTCTTTCTGCTAACTTCAGCTTTCGTCTGCCTTTTCAGCTGTTGTTCTGCTAATTTTATCCGTTTCATCCAATTCCACCTTTTTGTGCTAATTTCAGCTTTTTTCATCTTAATTCAGCAAACATGCTCTTTCTGCTTCTGCTAATTTAAGCATTTTCTGCTTTTCAGCTACTTTTCAGTTTTTGTTTTTCCCCGATTTCTGCTTTTTTCAGCCTAATTAAGCAAACGTGGCTTTTCTGTTTTCTTCTGCTAATCTTTTTTTTTCTTTTTCAGCTCCTTTTCAGCTTGTTTTTTGTTGCTAATTTAAGCTGTTTTCAGCTAATTACACAATTTTTGTGGTTATTTAATATTTTTGCTTAAACCAGCAAACATGTGGCTATTGGCTAGCATTTTCCTGCTTTTTGCTAGCATTTCGCTACCTCTTACTCTAAGCTAGCTTTCTGCTTTTATCTCGTGTTTTGCTACTTTATCTTTGATAGTTTTAGCTTGCTTTTTCCTAATGTTAGGCAAAGGTTTATTATCACTGCTAATGTTAAATTAATGTTGAACCATGTGTGTGAGGTCAGAGTTTTCTCCCTCTCAAAGAGAAGCCTGCAGGGACCTGACGCCTCCGAGTCTAAGAGGCCGAGGTCATCGTGCTGATGAGCATTATAAAAACACTTCCTGCACACTGTCCGGTTGCAGATTCTCATGACGAGGCTCGAAGCTTGTAACTTTGAACATCTGTAAAAGCCTGTTTCGTGACTGTCTGCCCTTTCAAGTAAACTGGGTTAAAAGTCTTCTATCGTAATGTGTGACTCCTTTCTTAAATAAGTAGATAATGAAAGGATATTTTTACCCAACAGTTTTGCTAAACGTAGCACTAAGCTAGCTCTTTCATACGTACCGGTGTTTGCTAACGTTTTACTACTTGTGGGTCTTAGTTCACATTTCCTGATTGTATTATTTTTATATTTTGCCAATGTTTTTTTACTTCCAGCTCTAAGCTAGCCTTTTCTTGCTGTTTGCTAGCGTTTCCACATATTCAAAAAATTAGAGCTGACTTTTCTGCCTAATTTAAACAAGTCGTCACAATTTACAGCTTAATTTCAGCTTCTTCACCAGCTTTCAGCAAAGTCATTCGGCAATAAGCATTCCCTAGGTAAAGTTAACATCCAGCCTCCATAAACGCCCACCTTTCCATCCTTTTCTCTCTCATGATTGGATTCTCACCTTTTTACGGATAACAGGACAACTGGTGAAGACAGCCTGCAGATCACATGTTTTCTGGCTGTAGAGTATTTCATTATGCCGCCTCTGCACTTTACAGATACACGGGAGTTTTATTTGCAGAGAAATGGCCTTGTCTTGAAAAGAAGCAATTTCTTACATCAGAAACCTTTCAAAAATTTAGCACTAAGATATGTGACCTGTAAGGTGTGTCTGTGGCTGATGAATGAGCAGAGCAACGCATTTCAGGAACTCTAGAGCATACAGCCTACAAGCCTTTTGAGAGTGTGTGGGTTTAGCTTCTTGGTTGCTTACTTTGATTTGACTGTCTGTTGAAATTTTAACCCTGACTTTAAAATGCGAATATACGTTAACATTCCAAACAGTCTGCCTCAGCTGCATGCTTCAACATCATACTTTTAAGGTTTTTTTCTCATCCTTATGCCCTATATTTTTGAGAGTTAGGTGATACGGGTTCATTCTAAGATAATATTTGTGCATATATTTGTCTTCTTTTGCTAAGTTTCTATTAAAAGCCAGGAGCATGCAATTGTCCTTCATTCACACAAAAGAGAACATATTTAATAGCTCACATTATCTTTCGTTCTCCCAGTTGGGTTTATTCAGCAAGTAATGACAGCTCCACATACATTATTCTGCTTATTTCGCAGATACTAGCAGAGGGTGATGATTATGTTAAATAATTGCTACAAGCCAAGGTAATTTGCAGGCTTTGGCCACAAAATGAGTTCAACAGGCCTGGGGGAGGTGCAGGGGGTCCTCTTTGTGCAAGGTCTTATTTAATGTGATTGACTATAATCTGTGGAGAGGATCTTTTGACTGCGGATTTGATTTGGTTAGAAATTAAACACTTTTCTGCTTTTTAGCCATGACAATTTACAAGTGGGCACTCGGCAAGCGTTTTATGTTAAAGTACCAAAATGCCAGATACACTTGATGCAGATTCTTGTTTTAATTATTTTTTTTATCCCTGCAGAACATCACATCCCCCGTCAACCTACCAAAGGTCGGCAGAGCTAAAGACTACCCTCTGTTTTTTGGGACGGCCATCTTTGCTTTCGAAGGGATCGGAGTGGTAAGTGACGATAATTGGGCAAAAACACATGGCAAACTAAAAAATGTCTTTAACTCAGTCAGATGTAAAGATATTTAAATACATATTGGTGTGGTAGTAGATGAGTCATTCCCAACACATTATCTGAGAGCTAGTAGATCTGGCACAATTCCTATCGTGCTAGGTGGCAGATGAAATGCACTGCTTTAAGGACTACACACTTATTTTATCGTAAAATATTTAAAAAGTCCAGTTATTTGAAAAGTATTCACTGCGATATCATAAAAACGGGACAAAAACAGTCATCAAGTTATAAACTAATTCAGCACAATATCTTTTGTATGTCAGTGGTAATGTGTCCCTAAAAAGAGAAGAAAGAAAGCTTGGTCTAAGTCTCAGGTCGTTGTTCAACAGGATAATGACCCAAAGCACAACTTCAAAAACACCCAAGAGTAGCTCAGAGCCAATCACTGAGCTGTTCTGGAGTGGCCTTCTAGCCCCGATCTAAATCCTGCTGGACGTCTGTTCCAGGTCCAAATCCCAGCATGTGGACATTTATGGCCTGCATTTTCCAAGTTTCCTGTTTTTGTCCAAACGTTGTCTAATGAAGTCTAAATTTGCTACAAAATGTTCTCAATCTTTGCACTGAGTAAATGAAAGTGTACCCTCTTTTTCAAATCTTCAAATTTTTCAAGTCTCTTTTGTGTCACATTTGTGAGTTAAAGCTGGCCAGAAGGTCACTTAGAGCCAATTAGATGCAAATATTTGCTTTTAATGCCGTATTTTATAATCTGTGCAGTGTGTTGTTATTGCAAATGACAGCTTGGACTGCAGTGAATGGTGGTCTATGGCCAATCAGATGTAGCTCCGCTGTTCAGCATAAGTGACCTAGATTTATTTTTTAATCTTTTGTTGATTTTTTTAAATAAAAAAAATTAAATTGGCATAATTAATAAAAATAAAATGCATCAGGTGAATAAAACCGTTCAGGTCCTCACTGTGCTTCAGTACTGATCAGACGGTATTTTTTGCTTCATTCTCCCGTTTAAACCCTGGGGAACACAGTCCCGACCGTCTGGGCTCCTGTCTGCCCACACATGAAAAAAACAAAACAACAGAAAATAACTGCAAACATTACGGTAAATATTAAACGCGCACCTAAAAAAAAAAAAGTTCCAAAATTCGGGTGCGCACTATAGACCAGAATTTACGGTAATCGAGTCATAGCGTTTATGCCGTACAATCGCCCTCCAATACAAATAAAATGTTCTTTCTTTTGGTCTTGCTGCCCGCAGCCAAGACGATATTCGTCCTGATGTTCGTCATGGCTTTATCAGGATCTGTGAACACTCTGTCTGCTTAAATAACATAGATTTTAATAGTTGTTGTTCAAGCCAAATAGATGTAAACAGTCTGTTTGTAAAAGGATGACAATAAGCACACATTCATCAACGCCTCCTGTCAGGGTGTTGTTTTAAATGTGTTGCAATGCTTCAGTTCCAGAGTACACTACGACAAGCAGAACATCGTGTTTGTCTTTTCTTTTTACGACACACTGATCACAGAGCTCCGCAGGAAATGGAAAGCCTTGAATTGTATTTGACATCACTCCGTGTGCACGAGTGAACGCAACTCTTTCTAACTTGTTGAGTTCAGAACCAAGAAGTTGGAGCCGGAAAAAGAAGAGACGTTGTAGATTAACTGACCGAAGTAAAATTATAACTTCTATTACAGACTTTTTGTTAATCTAGAGTAATTTAAACAAAGTGTGTTTTTACCTGTTTATGAAGGTCACCACTGGAACATATCCATTGCTTTAATTTGTTAGCACGTCCAAACTTCTATGTACTAGAAGTCAGTGACTCTGTCTCTAGAGTGCAGTTTACTGATAAGACGGTCATGCAAAGTTTTACACGTAATAAACCTAACGGTAGTAGGCCCCTGAACTTAGAGCTAACGTTAGCGTCATTAGCATGTTTTATAACCTGGAGGTGCTGCAAGTGAAATGGAAACTGCAGCTTGTCGTATAGTCAGTGAGGCAGAGCTGCGTCTTATCCTTTTCATGTGCAGAAAGGACTGTTTTATTAAAAAAAAAAACTTTAAAAAAGTAAAATTACCCACTAGTTATGAAGACAGGTGAATTTTTAGGAGTTTAGTGTTTTCCCAAAAGATGAGAAAGAACGTCATTCTCTGTACTTTTTATAATATTTTTTTTTTTATTTATTGCTCTGGTCAGATGAATTAATTTTTTTTTAAATTTTATATAAATTTACATGTTCTATATATAAAAATAAAACAGAAACTCTTTTGATTTATTTTTGTTTCATGATATTCTTATTGACGAGCGCGATGAGCTCCTCGTGTTCTTGCAGCTGTAGCGTTGAGTTAATACTGTTCAAATGTTTGAAATTACTTTAATGTGCAAATTTTCTTACATTTCTATTTGTGTCTGTCCGCTGGAAGGTTCTCCCCCTGGAAAATAAAATGCAGAAGCCTCAGAAATTCACCGAGGTTATGTATTTGGGTATGGGCATCGTCACTGTCCTCTACATCAGCCTCGGCACCATAGGGTACATGTGCTTCGGAGAGCATATTGGTGGGAGCATCACTCTGAACCTGCCAAACTGCTGGTAAGAGAACACCTGCACAAGTTTCACTTACACTCCGGTAATGCGTTTAGTTTCAAAAAGTACAAATACACTGTGGTCCATACATGGTGCCCAATATACAGGAAAACAAACAGGGCTGTCAAACAAACGTGAACTTTATGAATGACGTTTCAGTGGACGCTCAAGTTTCACTGTAGCTTCTTAAACAATCTACAGAATGTTCATAAAGTGGCAAGCTCTTTAAGAGAAGACAAAATGTTCAAAGTTTTCTGACTCTTTAAGTAGTGGACAGCTTTAGATAACATTTTTCCTGCTAAAACAATACAATGGAAACACCAATCATAAGGGACCTTCTCCTCCTTCATCTCCATCTAACCCAGTATTCTCCTCGGCTACACAAACCCTCCGTAGACCCTCCTCCACCACATCCATAAACCTTCTCTGTGGTCTTTGTATTTTCCTCCGCTCTGGCAGCTCCATATTAAACTTTGTCCAAAAAAATCTATTGTCCCTCCTCTGCACATGTCCAAACTAAAACCCGACCGATATATCAGTAGGGCCGATAATTCTGGACGATATAGGTGTTTGGGGACTTATGGGTATCGTGACAATGTTTCCATTATCGGCCGATATAAGCACTTCTAATTTTCACCCCTAAAATGCTGGAACCAGCCGTTCTTGTCCAACGTATCCAGCAGAGGAAGCATGAAGACTTCTTCTAAGACATGGCCGTTCATTTAAGTTTCACTTTCAGCACAGCCACAGCAGGGAACAATACTCTGTAGCATAATTTGACGAACAGAGCATGGCAAGTTTAGTTTAACTAATGGGTAAAATAAAATAAAAAATCCACAATAATAAATTCTCTTCAATCCTCCAACCTGCTTGTCATTAGCTACATGCATCTCAAGTTAGCAAGCTAAAGTTCGTGTGGGTATGCTGTCCTCACAACATGTGACTATGTGAAGCTAGACGGCGAACAAAACAAATCCTCAGACAAGGCTTGATTTTTGACTTTACTAAATATATTTTTTATGAATTTGTAAAATGATGAAAGTCCCAAGGCACAAGCATGTTGGGCACATTTAGCGTGTATTTGAGCTGTTTTCTCCCTTGTTTTCCAAAGCTCATACATCAAAGATTGTTCTGTGGTGAGAGCACTCACTACCTCACATGCTGCACGTACAATATGACAAAGATTAGATGTCTCACTCTGATTGGGATTCAAACCCAAAACATTTCACCAGATTTAAGCATGAATTTACTTAAACCAATGAATAACTATGAACTTACCGTATTTTCCGCCGTACACGCCGCACCACCCTATAAGTCGCATTGGTCCAAATATGTCTAATAAAGTGGAAAAATCCATAAATACATCGCTTAGCCTATATGTTGCATCTATTATGCGTCACCGCTGATGCGTCGTGTTTAAGTGTCACCGCTGACAACCCGGAAATGTGGGTCGGTGTTGTGCCAAAAATCGATTGGCTGCCAAATGGCGGCTGCGGCAGCGTGCACGGGAGGACTTCAACAATAATTTAACAAGATTAACACTTAAAAACAATTATTTGTTTGCTCGGAATTATAGTACAGGTGTGTCTCAGTGTAACGTTTGCTTAACAAATGCACTTTAATGGTCAAATTAGTTGCATGTCACTGGGGCGGCGCAGCGAAATTAAGCTGATTTGACGGTTGCTCCAAGCAGTGAGCAGAACGAAGGTAGCCTCAATGGCAAGCCGATTGTGTCACTAATAGACACCTTTACCTATTACGTGATACAACTGTATGCCATACTACTCGAGTGCCATCTAGCGGCTGAAAATGGTAGTGTTCAATATTTCAGTCTGAATGAATGAAAATGGTCATAACTCAGCCAATAATTGGTTTATAAATATGAATAAAAACTTAAATATGTCACTTGGGCATATAAGTTGCAGGGTATGTAAATTATGCAAAAAAAGGGCAAAAAATACTGTATTTATCACCTCATTATGTAACTTACTCGCATGATGAACTTATTAAAGTCTGAACAAAAGGCAGCGCAGTGGGACTAATTAAATCTGATTAGCTTAGCTTCATGGTTGCTAACAGCTGCGCTAAGTAAACAAGCCCCACTCCACTCGCTGTTTACTTAGATTCTTGGGGGTGGACAAAGTAAAAAAAAAATTCAGCCATTATATCGGTTATCGGCGATTGCCCAACCCTCCCGATATCGGTATCGGCGATAGCCAAAATTTCAGTATCGGTCGGGCTCTAGTCCAAATCAATCTCTCAGCCTCTCCGTTCTAACTTTCTCTTCAAACCACCTCTGATGTACTCCAGCCATTAACCTCATCTGACTTATGTTGTACTTTTATCACTCATCAGTAGATCTCTAGATCTGAGGATGCTCCATCACTTTTCAGTCGAGCTCAAAGCTCAGTTGAAACAGAGCTGCCGAGTAGTTTTAACTTTTTTTAAAATCAACAACTTCAAGGTTTTTTTTCACTGCTTTGAAGAACAAACTTTTAAGGTTTCGGTACATTTTCTTTCCTGATTAACGTCCTTTTGTCAGAACGGATTTCACACTGCTTTTATCTTTCCTCCTTCAGGTAATATTTTATCAGCACATTTATTTATGTGTGTGTTTATAAATTAAATAGTTTGGTTTATTTTCTTTTCAAGATGTAGAGCTTTACACATGAAAGGCACAGACGTGTATATTTGTGAGACTGTGCTGGATTACCATACAAAGCTTGTGTCAAATGTCCCTTTTTTATTTGGTCAAGCTAAATGTTCAGTCTAATCCATAATTTTAAACAATTTAATAGATTGTCGAATCATTAAGGCATTATGGAGTCATGTTTTTATCTCAAAGGGGAGTAAAAACAATGATGGGTAATTATTAGTAAATGTAATCTGTTTATGGAGGAGATATAAGTTCTCAGGGGTTGAAATATTTCACTTTTGCTCAAGGTTTTTACCGCTCACAATTATTCCTCAGTTATTTTTTTATATGAACAGTTTGTGGAAATGTCAAATTCAGCTCTGCCTATTCACTGCACATCTTTTTAAAAAAAAATGTTGTTCAGGAAAACAAATCAAGGCCTTCGGTAAAACATATCTAACTTTATTTAACAGCGCAAACACCGAAGCTGGGTTTGAGATGCATGCCGAGTGTTGTACAAAAAGACTCATTTTAATTTACTTTATTTGCTATACTTTAGACATTTTATACTCAGGATTGGAAAAATATCACTTTAGAAAATCTAAAGAAACTGAATCTGACACACGATTAAAAAAATCTTTGTTTCCCCTGTTTTTATTTATTTATTTTACATTTTTTTAAACGTTGTAAGGTGAAAAAGTGGGTAAGAGTGGAAAAACAACAAAAAACCCTGAACTAAACAACAATCTGTCCACTCTGACTAAACTGAGATGCTGCTCTGCTGCATTGAAGTTACAGCTGTTTAAATATTTAGCATTTTTACAGCAGATTTACAGATTACTCACCGTAAAAAAAGTCAACTATAATAAACTCAGGAACTTACTTTAGCAGAAAAAGAGGTGCATCAGTTGTACCACCTTTAGTGCCTCCAGTTTTCTCCAACCAGAGACAGAAACACCAACTGAACATTGCAGCAGGTGAAACATCTGACTCGGCTGAAGAAAGGAAAACGACTCCAGATGAGTTTAAACTACATCAGTTTGGACAAAGCACCGTCCAGTTGGTGGAGACTGCAAACAAATCCAATTTGTAATTTATTGTGAGAACAAACTAAATCCAGCAATGTGCTGTCTGATTCTCTGATCAGGTCCATCTTGAAAATGAGTCCTCCTGACTCAATGAGCCTAACTTGTATAAATAAAGGTTGGAATGTCGAACTTGCTGTGCTTTGAGAATTCCCTAAAATGTTTGTCAAAAATGTCCATGCTCAATAATCCAGGTATACAATCCAACAGTTTTCAGTCAGGTCATCTGGACATTTGGTTTTGAACCAGTTGGACATTGTTGAGCAAGAGGGCCAGCTCCAGAGGAGGGAGCGTGCCAAAGAGACCATCTTGGCACCAACATAACTGGTTTGTTCCACTTTGGAGTAAGCTGTTTGGGGGGGAAAAAAATGAGTTTTGTGTTGTGCGTTTCCTTGACTGATGAAGCCTTCCGGATGGAAGGTGAAATGTTTCAGCAAAAAAAACCTGTCCAGATGACCTGACTAAAAATTGTTAAAATGTTTGTCATTTCTGCTGTTCACATTCAGTACATTTAAAAAATACAAAGCAAATGCACCAGTTACACAAACAACTTGGTGTATTTTAAACCCTAACTATTGTCGTCTGAATAAACAGAATTCTGAACTGTACTTTCCACCAAACCCAAGAGGATAAAACACCACTGACATTCCTGGAAACACTTTTGACTTCTGTAGTGGGATTCCACCGTGCTTCTTAAATATACATTTTAGAACGTTAACTCAGTTCAACCATGAATGGTGGCCTATAGTATCCATCTTATTTCTAGCTTCCATGCTGCCTTGTGTGAATGATGGACGCGACTTCCAGTGCGGACCAGAGTTGGCGTTTGTTTATGTGCAACCAGTACGAGCTAATGTACTTTCTCCAAGCATTGTGGATTTAATTTAAACACGTAGGAACACCACCTGTCAGAGCTCAAACAGGACTGTAGAATGATATTCTGCCTGCTGAGACAAGGGATGGAGGACGAGCTGAAGAAGTGGCTGCAGATTACATCTGCTAGCATATTTAGATACATCTACTAACATATTTAGCTACATGTACTAGCATATTTAGCTACATCTACTAGCATATTTAGATACATCTACTAGCATATTTAGCTACATGTACTAGCATATTTAGCTACATCTACTAGCATATTTAGATACATCTACTAACATATTTAGCTACATGTACTAGCATATTTAGCTACATCTACTAGCATATTTAGCTACATCTACTAGCATATTTAGCTACATCTACTAGCATATTTAGCTACATCTACTAGCATATTTAGCTACATGTACTAGCATATTTAGCTACATCTACTAGCATATTTAGCTACATCTACTAGCATATTTAGCTACATGTACTAGCATATTTAGCTACATCTACTAGCATATTTAGCTACATCTACTAGCATATTTAGCTACATGTACTAGCATATTTAGCTAC